CATCCCTTCTACACCACACACACACACACACACACACACACACACACACACACACACACACACAGAGGTGCTCGTCTAGCCTCTGATGGGGAACTCACCATCTCCCAAGGCCACCCACTGGCTATTCTCAGCCAGCTCCATTACTAGAATTTGTGCCGAAACTGACCTTTCAGACATTTAGTCCATTGGTCCTGGGTCTCTCCTCTGTTGCACACTGAGCATTCATTCATTTAGCCCCCACTGAGTGCCCATACTCTGCCAGGTGCCCTGCTAGGCCCTGTGGATACTGGATGAGGGAGGCACAGCCCCAGCCCTCAAGTAGCTTAGTCTTATTAGAGAGACAGACAAGTCACTGGTGTGATACACATTGTTAAGCAGAGAGAGGGTGGGCAAGCTGCCTGCCCGGCTTCTCTACTTCAGAGCTGTGTGACCTCTTTAGGCCTCAGTTTCCTCATCCATAAAATGGAATATTAACAGCACATACCTCCCATCTCATAGGGTTGCTGTGAGAATGAAGTGAGTCAATGCATGTAAAGCACCTAGAACAAAGGACATGCTCAGTAAAGATTAGCTTGGCTCATTACTACTGCAGTGCACGTAAGGGCTGTGGGAGCAGAGAGGAGGGAGCCATCTCTGGAGAGACCAAGGAAAGCTTCCCAGAGGAGGTGATATTTGAACTTTATACATTAAGACCAAGTAGGAGGAATTCTTCAGGCTTCAGGAAGGGTCGCTCCAGGCTGAGACAGGAGGTACAAAGACACAGAGGGAACAGTAGACGTTAACGAGGACTGACTGATAGTTTATTCAGCAGGCTCTCTGGCTCTGGGTTCTCTGAAGCCTTAAACTTTAGGGCTTTCAGTCCCTCAGGGCTTTCCTGGGGGAGGAGGAGAGCGCTGTGGCTCTCAGCGAGGTGGAGGGTGTCCTGTTTTTAACCTGTAGTTTCTTCCAGAAGAAGCCTGGCGGGACACCTGAGCGTCGGGCAAAGGAGGCAGGGTCCTCTGGGAGACCCCTGGGCAGCAGGTCTGGGGTGGTTCAGATAACCTGGGGCCAGGAGTTAGCACACCTTTGTTCTAGTTCCAGCTCTGCCCCAGCCCTTTCTGAGACCCTGAGCCAGTCCTCGGGTCTCCCTGAGACTCAGTCTCCCCATCTGTTCAATGAGGGTTGGTCCAGAGGCTAAGTACTCCTAGGATTGCTTCTTGAAGGTTCAGACTCAGGACCAGATAGGCTGTAGCTGAGGAGGGTCCTGGGACCCTCTAGGCCCTATTCAACAGTCCCACTCTAAGCAGGCCTGTGAGCCCTGGAGTCCTGCACACACACACACCCCGTAGCCAGGTCATGGGCGTTCCTTCCCTGGCTGGGCAGCTCCAGGGTGGTGGCTCTGAGGAGGCTGTGACTCCTACCCCTCCCCCCAACAGGCACACACAGCCTGAGTGTGGCCCTGGGGCTGGTGGGGGGAGGTGGGAGGAACAGAGGAGGCCTGTCCTCTGGGCAAGGGGGCCTCTGGGCAGCGGCTTCCTGTGTGGTTCCAGGCTGGGGGCCCAGCCCACCTCCTGACAGAAGAGCCTTTCACGGGCCTGGGCTCTGAGGATGGGGAGAGGGCAGGGCATGGAGGCCACTCAGGTGAGGGCCGCCCAGAAGTCTGCATGAGGCCAAGAGGTGGGAGGGCAAACGCGTGCTTGCCCAAGTCAGACCAGCCTTGGAAACGTCAGCTCCCACCACCTCCCATTTTGCAAACGAGGGAACCAAGGTCCTAAGAAGAAAAGGGAGGTGTCTAATACCACCAAGGGCAGCAGCAGAGCTAGAGCTGCTACCCCAGCTGTGGGCGAGGGGCAGTGTATGGCTGGGCGTGTGCAAGAGTGTCTGTTAACATATGAGAACATGGTGGTGGGTTTGTACATTGTGAATTTGGGATTGTTAGTGTGGAGGGCTGGGGGGCCATCAGGGGAGTCAGGGGGCTGAGGGGCAGCTGTCTCAGGTCTCCTGGGTGCAGGGCCCCCTCCTGTGCTCCTTAGGACCTACCCTGGGGCAATGCTACCTAACGCCACCTTCTGCCTCATCCCTGGCCGCAGTCCTGATGTCTTACACTTCCTTCAAGCTCTGCAGGTACAACAACCCCGACTTGGGCATCCCCCATCCCTGTCCCCCTACACTCCTGAGCTGGAAGGGCAGTCTGGGCCCAGGCCAGTGGTTAGGGCCGGTGAGCTGCCCACTCCTTTACTCTGGGACTCAGATGTGCCCACGTGCCCACAGCCATATTCACTGCACCCTCTGCAGAACACCCCCCCAAAAAAAAACCCCACTTTTCTCTCCTCTGTACCCCTTGCCCCCAATGCAGAAGTTGCTGGCTTGGAAAAGGGAGGAGGGGTGTGTGTGTGCAGGGTGGGACTGGGCTCCCAGTGACCTCCCTACCCCCCAGGCTGGCTGCATCCCTGTGCTTCTCAGCCCTCGCTGGGAGCTGCCCTTCTCTGAGGTCATCGATTGGACCAAGGCGGCCATTGTAGCTGACGAGAGGCTCCCGCTTCAGGTAGCTCAGGGCCCTACCAATGGGGTGGGGACTAGACCCGGGACATGGGAGGACCTCGGGATCCCGGCCCCCAGGCTGGTCTCGGTCCTCATTCTTATCCCCCATCTGTGTATATTGATGATTTTGCGCCCAGCCCCAAGCCTCTGGGGTTCTGAGAGCAAGAACTCAGCCTCTTTCAGCCTCAGTTTCCCCATCTGTACAACGGGGTAAGTTAGACCAGATGATCTCCATGGGCTCAACCCCACTGGTCCATGACTGATTAAATACATAGTTTAAAGGAAAGCCACAAAAAATCCAAAATCTGAGTGCCTACATGGAGCTTGGGGTGGGGAAGCAAAATGCAGAGTGACTTTTCCCTCTGATGAAACTCATTTTGCCCAGCTCTGAAAAACATACGCATGAGCCTTGAATCCCCTGAGAGGTGAGAATGGTGTAAGAAGTTAACAGGAATAGCCTCCATTCACTGAGCCTCTACAATGTGCTAAGCCCTTAATATGTATCATCTAATTTAATCCTCACAACCACCCTACAAGGCAAGTACCATTATTGTTCCCACTTCACAGATGAGGAAACAGACTCAGACGGATTAAGTGGCTCATCCACAGTCACACAGTTACTAAGTGGCATTTAAACTCAGCTCTGTGTGACCCTTGAACTCTTAATTGCTAAGTTACCTAGGATTTTGCCGAGGCTGGCAGCTGCCAACCCACCTGGAGAAATGTGGGGAGCGGGCTTCTGCTTCCCAGACCTCCAACCTAGGCTGTCCCCACCCCATGGTGAGTCAGGGCCTGCCAGGGCCCCATGCCTTCTCCTTTGCTCCCTCTGTGCCCCAGGTCCTGACTGCCCTCCAGGAGATGCCCCTCGCACGGGTCCTCGCCCTGCGTCAGCAGACCCAGTTTCTATGGGATGCCTATTTCTCCTCGGTAGAGAAGATCATCCACGCCACTCTGGAGGTGAGGGGGATTCACCTGATGGGGGCTCTGGCGTTTGGCTCTGCCTCATCCCTGCCCCTCTCCATGCCCCTCTCTTCGGACTCCTCCTCTGCCCTGGTGTTTGGGCTTCCCCCTTGAGGATGCTTCTGGGATGAATCAGAGACTTGGCTCAGAGCTCTTGGATGAGTTCCTTCTCCAGCCTTGGCCTCAGTTTCCCCATCTGTAGACAGATTTCAAAGCATGTGCCAACTCCAGCTGATGGGCATTGGTTGCCTGGGGCATATGTTGGGAGGGATTCTGGGTCCAGAAAAAATGTCATGACCTGTTAGTGGCATCTGCCATGAGTGAAGACAGCATCGCTGAGTGACCCCCTACCCTGGACTTCTGAACCTTTCTGTCCCCAGCGATCTGGTGTTGCCGATGCTGCCCTCCCCAGATTCCTGAAGCGGGAGGTATGCGGCTGCACCAGGTCCTCACTTCCTCAGACCCTGCCCATGGCCACACTGGCCGCTCCCTCTGCACAGCCTTCTCTCATTTCACAGATTATTCAGGACCGGATCTTTGGAGCCTCTGCTCACACCTCGCTACTGTGGAACAGCCCCCCAGGGGCAATCCTGGCCCTGCCCACTTTCTCCCCAAGCCCCTCGGACTTCCCCTTCTACCACCTACAACAGGGTATGCCCTAGGGATGGGACAACTTGAAATCCCCTCATCAACTCTCCCCAAGTCTGTGCCCCAGCCTCAACCATAGAGCCCCACCAAGCCCCTCCCCAAATCTCCCACATCTTTTCTGGCTCCCCAAGTCCCCAACTCAGGTCATTCTCGGTGGGTTCTGTCCCCTCCCGCCCTAATAGCCTGTGTCTCATTCCTCCAGGCTCTCGTCCTCTGGGCAGGTTCAGCGCCCTGATTTGGGGGGGGGCTCCAAGCCAGCCCCCCCTGAAGCTCATCCAGGCTGTGGCAAGCTCCCAGCACTGTGCCCAGGTCTGCCCCCTTGCCAGCTGGGGTGCCGGGATCCAGGATGGGGGCGAGACAGGGCAGAGCCCTTGAAGACATCTGGATGCCAAGGATAACCACACATTTTGCAGGGAGGCACGGGAAGGATTTTCAAGTACCACTGCTGCCTTCCTCTTTCAGTCCCAAGTTTCTAGTTCCTTTCCCCCACCTCTACCCCCCCTTCCCTCATGGAAACTGACAAAGCCACCTGAAAAACAGGTGCCTCTTGTGGAGGTTGAAGTAAACATACATGCATTGTTTTTATTCATCCAGCCTTTTCTGAGCACCCTGGGCTTGATGCTGAGGATGCAGAGAACAAGTAGGAAAGGATTCTGCCCCAGATTCATATTCAGTTAGCACTTCCTAGCACACAGACTGTCAAATATCATTTCCAGAGAAGCCAGATAGGCTCTTGAGAGTACTTGGAAAGGAGACAAGCAGTTAGCTCAGCCAGGGTGCAGACGGATCAGCTTCAAAGATGGGACATTTGAACTGGGCTGGGAATGATAAAGGAGCAGGAGGAAGAGAATGAAAACCTTTGAGAGAAGATGGGGATGGGGCATGGGGTCAGGGCCCAGGCTAGGTGCGACTTGAGTTCTAATGCTACAGGTAGCTACCTTCGTGTCACTGGAATTCATGCCTTCCGGAAGCTCAGAGGCAAAAACAGGGCAGTCATGAAAGGACCTTTGCTCTAACTAAACTCCTCCCAAACTCAGATATACAGCTGCTCTTCCAACCTGCTTCCACCCTGAGAAAGATTACTCCCGGGACACCCCACACACACCCTGGCCTTCTGACCCAGACTTCAGGAACATCCCCCTTTCCTTCCAGATCTTGGTTCTCTGGAACAGTGAGAAGCCACCCCCAACCAGGTGGCCCAAGACAGCAGTGCCCTTGACAGTCATTGATGGGCACAGGAAGGTGAGAGATGGGGAGGGATGTGGAAGGGTGGGCTCACCCCCGGAAACCTGAGATCTGGGGAGGACATACACAGTGTGATTTGCTTGGGCCTGAGCCAAAGCTGGACTTCAAGTTGGGCCTGGAGAAATCAGACCATGGGTTTCAGCTGCAGGCCTAATAGAAATGATTCTCTTCCATCCCTGGCCCTTGTGAATTGTGCTTCCAGAGAACTGGGGTTTTGTGTGATGAGGGAAGGCAGAGAGAGTACATTGCTGTCTCAGGTAACGGATAGGGGGGAAACCTGGGCAGGTGGCAGCATTTTGGGTGGGGGTGAAGGGGTGGCTTCCAAGAACCTGGGTTGGTGTGACATACCTGCTTGCCTGTGCCGTTCTGGGAAAGTCCCTTCATCTTTCCAGACCTGTTTCTTTCAAACGAAGGATGTTTGACAACCCTTCCAGGGTCGAGGTGAACATCTAATGTGACAATAGAGGAATCCTGAAATGTCAAAACTGCAAGGGCCCTAGACACCAATGGCCCCATTTCACCAAAGGGCAAACTGAGGTCCAGAGAGGGAAAATGAGGTCCTCAGGTCCGAGTTGCGGGCAGACTTGCTGTTTTCACTGCTCTTCCTTCTACACCATGTCTGCAGGGGCTCCTGCTTAGCAGATATGCAGATACTCATCATGGGAGCCTGGGGAGGGGTCCTACGGCTGAGTTGCCCTCCGCTCCCTCCCCCTGCAGGTCAGTGACCGCTTCTTCCCGTACAGTGCCATCAGCACCGATGCCATCCTCAGCCTGGATGCCCATAGCAGTCTTTCCACAAGTGAGGTGAGGACTCCCAAGAGGAGCCCTGGCAGTCCCTCAGACCCCAGGAGCTGGGATGACCAGAGATCAAGAAGTCCAGCCTCCTGCTTCAGGAGTTTTCAGCTCCTAGCTGCAAAAGCACTGTTTCTAGCTCCCAGTTGGGAAAGTTCCCCTAAGCATCCCCTGGAAATTTTCTAGCTCCCTTCTCCTCTCCCCTGAGTCCCCTCAGCCAGGCTGGCCTTGCCTCCATGTCTCGGGAGGCTCCTGGCTGGGCAGGAAGTCCTTCCTCACACCATACTTAAATATCTCCCCAGGTGGACTTCGCTTTTGTGGTGTGGCAGAACTTCCCAGAGCGGATGGTCGGCTTTCTGACGTGGAGCCACTTCTGGGATGAAGCCCGTGGTGGCTGGGGCTATACTGCCAAGAGGACCAACGAATTCTCCATGGTTCTCACCTCAGCTGCCTTCTACCATAGGTACAGATGCCAGCCCCGGCACTGGGCTCAGAGGGCCAGAGAACCCTCCTTTGAACCAGGAGCAGGGTGGTGTGGGAGTGGACACAGCAGTCAGCCGAGAGCTCAGAGATCCAGGTTCAAGGCCACTTCCCGGTGCTGTGATGGGCAAGTCTCCTCACCTCTCTTGAGGTTCAGTTTCCTTGTCTGTAAAGTGTATTCACCTCACAGGGCTGGTATGATCATCAAATAACAAAAATACATGAAGGGCTTCCCTGGTGGCGCAGTGGTTGAGAGTCC